AATGGTAGGAGAGAAAAACTCACCTAAAATAGTCTAAAAACGCATTTATCTCTCATTCTTAGTTTAGTGTATTACACCAAGGTGAGGTGATACTCTTCACCTCAAAAATTAAGGATTCTTACTTCGAGAATTTGCTGTGTGCTTACCGCACTATGTTAATAGTTTATATAAGGTTTTTTCAGTTTGAATTGTCGGACTTTCTTTCTGTGTATAAATGATTAATAATACTATATATTGCTAGTTTAACATAACTAGTCTTAATTCTTTTACCTTTTTCATCTGTTTTAGTCTGATCAACAATCAAAAAAAATCAGATAACTACCTGAGCAGAATACCCTCTCACAGTGGGCAATGAAGAGGATATACAACAAAAAGCTGAAAGCGCACTTTTTCAGATTTGATTGGGTGAAACGAATGCGCTATTTAATAGTATAAAGCTTTTTGTTTTCAAGTGATAAGCGTTGTGGAAAGCGCATAGTTTAAAATTAGCCTGAAAACCAGGGAGGCACGAGATAAAAAGTTTTCTTATTAAATCCAACAAAACTGAAGTAAAAACGGTACAGATTATGAATGACTCTAGACTCCTTCGGCTACATATCAGCAAAAACATTTTGCTAACGAGAAAAAATTAGTTTCAAAGCTAACTAATTCTTCTTTAAGTTATGGTCGGTGTCATGAGTCTCCCGTTTTTCCTTAACCTTCAAACTTTGCATAAATAATAATCTAAATAATCTATTTACACTAGTTATCTACAGATAGCATAAATGTGGTCATAAACTGGTTATAATGAGGTCATAAACTGTATCGTATGGTGTATAATACAAAATATTTAGAAGAAAAAATTTCGAAATTAAAAATCAGTCAAGGTCTCTCTTAACTAGTTTTGACGGAAAAAATGATTTTTTCAAAGTCGTTTTTCTTTTATTTGAAATAGACAGTTTGAGGTATGGAGAGTCAAACTAAACTAAATTGTTTTTAACGGGGAAAACCCAATGTGTACAGGATAAACCAGGATTGCCTGTTGTGCACCTACAAGAAGTAACTATTTTATTAGAAACTGAGATGTTAGTAATCACTTACATGCACTCAACACCAAACTATGATGTTAGGAGTTCATGAGCCAAGTACTACAATGACCGTTTCGAGATATCGAAACTAAGGACGGTCTTGATGTTGTAGTGTCCCAGCAACCGGTTACACCAGTTAAGATTCTGCTTAGCTAAGTCTTATCAACTATCCAGTACTTATCAACTAAAGGCACTCGTTCCAGGTGAATAATGAGATCTAGTAAGATACCGGAAATTCAAAGTTCAAGCAAGGATTTTTTGCCATTTATTTATACATGGGTGGATAGAGCGCATCGAGTGGAATAAGAAAACATGGTTTAATTTTTTAAAAGGATTTTTTAGGAAGAAAAATTGAAAAAATTCGAAAGATCTAAAATTTCGAACAACCATTCAGTTTTAAAAAATTCACATTCTTTTCTTTTAAATAAATGCAAAAAATCCTTGCTTGAACTTTGAATTTCCGGCACCTTATTAGATCTCATTATTTTCCTGGAACGAGTGTCTTTTTATCAAAGCCGATGGGAAAATGTGATAGTAATATCCATGCAAATAAACTACCTATTTACCAACAGATGATGAATGTTACACTTTCCATACCAGCACGTTTACAATAGTAGATAGATAATGACAAGTGATTCATTATCAAATGCATTCACCTCGTTTCTAAGATAGGACGGATACATTAATGCCGATGAGGGGAACGAAAACATCACAAAATTCAAACACTTTTTATCGAATGAATGGTACACGCGAAGAAAAAAATGATTGTATCTTATATCAACTGTGATATCTCCTAGGGATCGATGCCAGTTTATATTCGATAATTAATTTAGTTTTCCTGTAACCCCACTTTATAACAAGAAGGCCTTCATCAGTACTCTGCATTTCACATTCGCTATTCTACACGAATATAACGTGAAACAAGTACAGAACAAATAACATACTATTGAAATAATAGCACACTATCATTAATATCTATCACTTTTCCTTTACGCGTAAAATGTCACACATATAAAATTATTTATAGATTATTTATATTATTTTTATTTATTGTATCTATTTAATTCTGAAGGCGATATGGCTGATTAACTTTGTTAACCGTATGTTATTACTTTGTCATATCCTTGTACAAAGGGGTTTTAAACATTTCAAATCCTTATTCGTATACTTCACCCTCTAAACCGGCGTTTGAGAGCAGAGCCTTAACGTACAGTACTCTTTTGAAACTCACATTCATTTTATCGTTGCTCTTTCCCAAATATCACATACACTGTTACCGGTGAAAACAGAAAAAAACACTCTGTATATGCAAAAACTATAATCTAACCTTTCAATCTTCATCATTCATACATCCCATCGCAAAATGATTCGTCACATATTTTTTGCTCTGATAATTTCTTTCTCCAGTTCGTTTCGCGTCAGGCATGCACAATTAACGGTTGCGATTAATGAACTGGTTGGTTTTGGAGATTCGTATACAGATACGGGAAATGTATATAATTTATCAAATCATGTTTGGCCACAAGTTCCACCGTATTTTGATGGTCATTTTTGCAACGGCTACATTTGGATTGAAAAGTTTGCCAAAAGAATGTCTAATTACACTAAGCTCTCTAATTATGCATATGGTAAGAGAAGATCAACTCTATTAAAGTTGAGTAGAACGATAATATTTGTGTTTTAGCTGGCGCAACTACGGACTCAAATCTTGTGCAAGGCTATTCGGATAAATTTGTCGTACCAGGTGTGCGCCAACAGATTCAGTCTTATAATTCGACACTAACTAATATATCCAACATTGATTTTAATCAAACAATACATATAGTATGGATCGGTAGTAATAATTACTTTTTTAATTCAAGTTCGCTACCAGAAGATGTCGTGGACAGTATTATGGGTTGTTTGACAGATTTAATTTCAATAGGCGCTCGTCATATTTTGATTTTTAATCAACCACCATTCGAATATCTACCTTATGTTGCAGGACCGAACAGTCAAGTATACGGGGCTATTTCAACAAAACATAACAGTATTCTCAAACAGTCAATCGAAGCTTACCAGCACAACTATACACAAATATCGTTCATATTATTTGACGTGCACGAACTGGTAACAAAAATAGTTCTTGATCCAACAAAATATTCGTTCAGCAGTTTAGACAAATGTTGGGATACACTAACAAATAGTACATCAACACTGATATTGTGTAACGATACAAATAAACATATTTTCCTTGATGAATATCATTTCACTACAAAAATGCAGGGTTTTATCGCGGAAGCCACCTTTGAAAGGTTCCTAGTGCATGGGAATTCATCAAGTGGTCAAATAAAGCATAGTTTTATTATTTTCCAAATCGCACTACTAATTTGTTTGATGAAAGTTTTGTCATAGAGTTCTTAGAGTTTACATGATTTCAACTATTCATGTTATTAACAACCATTAAGTGCTTATTACTTTCAACAGCACACTAAAGACAATAGAATTTTGACACAATCGATCTAGTTACAACAAATATGGATCATTCTATTCCACAGTGGGCAATTAGGCAGCAATTTGGTCAAAAAGATGAAGTTTGATTTTTCTTGATTTGAAGATTGGCCTATATACTTCAAGTGACGGGCTATCTAACGGCAAAAGAATTTTTATCCAAAGTCCTTTCCTCTCGGAAAAAAGTTAGTTGGAAAAATTCTTCTATTATTCTGTACCTTTTGGAAAAACCGCATTTTCTCGACTTAAATTTGGTGTCAGCATTAATCTGAGGCCATATTCGGAATCAGCGGAAGTTAGGCTTCCAATCAGCATGGAAAAAGTTTTTCTCGAGCCTCATTCTTAAAAAAGATTTTGATCTTTTCTGGAAAAACGTGATTTTCCAAAAGCTTCACTCAATGCAATGAGATCGCTAAATTTTCCTAAGCTCCAAGAACCTTCATTTTTTGCGAGGATGAGCTCCATAACCACCTCTATCTATGGTATCAGCTCATAGTCGCCCAACTCATACTGGCGTTCTCTGGAGATTTTCAAAGATCCGTTGGTTTTCAGGGTAAAATAAGCCTTTTTGTACCTTAAAATGATTTTTTTCGATATAATCTATACATATTCGAGATCAGTGGGAAAAACTGCATCTAATGAATTAGAATATTGCATATTAAATTCCGAAAACAAATTTTTTGGCTTTTTGAGTCAAGAATTTGGACGTGTTTTTACATACTGCCTATAAGAATTACACGAACCTGGATATTTTTTCTATGATACAGCAGTTTCAATGTTTTCGAATAAAGACGATTTAGATTTGGATATTTTGTTTTACAAGAAATAAAACTAGAAATAAAATTTCACTTCCTCTTGATGATACTTTCTCTCGTTTCATTTGATTGTATTCCTTTTAGTTTAAAAAAAACTAAGTTTCTAATCCGTGTTTCAAAAATCTAAGAAAACTACATTTTTCGGGAAACTTTTGAAAAATCCTAAGTGCATGAGAAGAAGCTTCGACATCTTCGCCAGTCTTAGCGTGGTCAAAATTCTCAAAATGTGCCTGCTCTTGCGTAAATTGCCCACTCTGTATTCGTTGCCAGTAGAAATGAAGTTATTTTCATCACATGTGGATGCGATAAGATTTTTCGACGTCCGATGAAATAGTTCCGCAAAATAGTGGAGAAACCAAACAATCCTGTCTACATATGACCGCTTCAGAATATTAAACTCTATGATATCGTAAGAGTCAATAAAAGCCACTTTTAAACTCTTGACAAAACTCACGTATAAGAAGTGGATCATTCCATAACTTTCAAAACTCTCTCTAGTGATTGCCAATGTAAGTCGAAAGAAAAATTCGTTTCTATCGGTAATCAAAATGAAAAAATAATAATAATCTTTTATATTTAAGAAGAAACAAAAAAAGAATGTACAAGAAACAAATACAGTGAAACTCTATTAATCTGATTCATCGCTTGCCAAAGTGTGTACTCTTTTACGTTTACGATCATGTGCCGCTGCTTCTTCTGCTCTCGTCTCATTATCAGATTCATCCAATGGATTACTTTTTCGATGTTTTGTTGTTGATTGTTTAGCTCGTTGACTATTTCCATCAAATCGACTTGAAAGTTCATCATCTTCATCTTCAATTTCATGATCCGATCCTTGGCCATATTGTCCTAAAAAGTTTTAGAGAACAGTTTAAACTTGAATCGAAAAACATCAGCTTACGTACCATGTGCTTTTTTATGTTTGATATCTTTTTTTATTTTGGATATTGACTGTAATTCATCCTCGTCGCTCGAATGTCGATCTTCAAGATAAGATGATGTTAAACCACCATTTTTTTCTCGATGTGCCGCACGTTCTCTCTGACGTAATTGATGATTTCGGCGTCGTTCTTCTGATCTCATACGTTGTTCTTCTTTCTGTAACAAGGAGATTAAATGTAAGACAAACAGTATTTAGTCATATTTTAACTTACTCG